AAAATTTCAAGTTCAAATCGAGTTGTAAAATACAAATCAAGTAACTCGAAATTGTTAGTACTTAGTTGATTTATTTTCAAGTTTGAGTAAAGTCTCTCGAATTTGTGTGGTATATGCATATCACATATAAAAAAATATTAAGAAACATAGATGTATTGTATATGATTTACAATTAAATTTAAAGAGAAACTCGAAAATTCGACTGGACTCGAAAATCGGGTTATAAAATAGGACTCATCAACTACTCAACTTGATCGAACACTCACCGTTACTTATTATAATTTTATGACTTAATGCAAAAATAAATACTTAAACGGTACATTTTTATTAATTTCAGGTGTCTAGATTTTTATTCTCAAAATACGTATAAATTTGTTATTATATATTAATTTTATTAACCATAATGTCACTGATAGTTAAATCCTCAATAAAAAGGTATTAATTTATTTTTTAATTTATATGATTATTTTATAATTTTTTATAGTTAACAAAATATATTATAATAAAGGAACTATTTATATATATTTTAAAAAAAAATTGATAATTGAACTTCGTTTAGACTTCGAATGGTCCATTACTTAGTTTAGAATCAATGTAGACGACTCTACGTACCTTGGAAAAATTTGGTTGGCGTATAAAAGCTTTTGACATTTTATAAATATGAAGATGAGTGATTATATGGTTGATTTGATATTTGACGATTATTTTATCAGTTTTCTTTTTATAAAAAGGGAACCTAACACGATACAATATGAATATACCCAGATTTGGTGTCGTCGAAAACTGGAACACCCATGTGAACCAAATCTGTTTTATTAATGCTCAAATTGTGAATTTGCTTGTATAATATTTTAACGTTTAAATATATTGAGCTCACATTTTTTTATATATAATATTAATAAATTTAATTTAATTTAATCCGTATAGTTTAATTTGACAAAATTATTATTTTTAATATTTTTACGGAATCATTAGTTAATTCTTTCAAACTGAATAATGATGTAGTGTTTCTCAACAGTAATTTCCTTTTGTTGCAGGTAGTTTTTTTTTTATAAAGAAAAAAAGTCAATGTAATGATCAGAACTAAGTAATTACATCATAAAAATAAAAGATTGAATTATATTAAATAAGAATATAAAAATTAAATTCTGAATTTCTATATAGAAAGAAATCAAAACTCAAAATTTTCTCCAGCACCTTAGAATTTTAGCACGGTAACTGCTTAGAAAAAGAGGATAAACTAGTGAGTGGCCATCCAAATGCTACATTTGTTACATGATTGAGAATATAATTTTTTAGGAAAAAATGGGATGTATTTTTTTTTTCAAATTAGAGTTCAATTTGATTACAATAATTGTGTACCAATCTTAAGTTAAACTAGAATTCAAATATTTAAAACAATACTAAATCTTAAGTTATCTCGCGTGTTAAAAGGATTATTTTTATTGTCCTAGAAGTCTTAGGTTCAAACACAACAGATTTCAAGGTAATGAATTTTCATTGTCAAATTATTGAGAATATTTAGAACAAATACTACATTATATTTATTTTAGATTAATAAAAAATAGTATTATACACACTTAATATATAATTAATTTAAAGGGTAAACTACGCGTATAAAATCTAAATTATTAGTTTCGGTCTATTTTAGCACATAAACTTTTAGTTTTTTTCAAAACTATGCCTAACGATTAATTTTTTTAATACCCCATAAAAAACTTAACGTTAAGTTTGATTCCCTAATTTAAACTATGACTTAACTTAAAACTCGACTACAGTTAATATGATTAAAATAATTTCTACTTAAAACCTGAAAAAAGGGTAAATTTCACTGTTCCTTACCGAACTATACCCTTTCTCCTATTTTTGTCACTCAACTTTAATTTTTCTATTTTGCTCACTAAACTTTACAAATTGAATCATTTTGCTCACTCTTCCGTAAACTATCTAATGTTTTGAAGACATGTCATTTTTATTATTATTTTTAATATAAAATAATTGAGAAAAAAAAACATAAGGTGGCTGGATGCCACCACCGGCCACCGTCGACTGCCATAGGCGATGGTTGTTTGATCCCAAATTTCATGGGTCGCTTCGCCTCAACATCGTGATTTCGAATATGACCTCCATTTTGTCGGAACTTGCTTTGAAGTCCATGAATTTGAGATTGAATGTGAGGGAGTCGAAACATTTCAGTCAATATTTACGGGTTTTGGGATATTTTTCGGTGAAACAACCTCCAGATTCGAACTCAGGAGATCGAGATAAACGATCCATGAAATTTGGGATAAAACGACCACCATCAACAACGGTGGACGATGGTCGGATGAAAAATGACGTGGTGCCAGTGGAGAGAAAATGAAGAAGAAAAGGAAAAATGGTAAATTACACAATTCCTCGTTGAACTTTAATCTCTCTCCTAATTTACTCACCGAACTTTCAATATAGTATTCAAAATGACGTTGTCTTAGTGTATATTTGAGTTTTTCAAAAAGACATCGTTTTGATGATTGTGTCATGTCATAACACCGTTAAATAGTTAATGACAAAGCGAGCAAAATGATTCAATCTATAAAGTTTATTGAGTAAAATAGAAAAATTGAAAGTTGAGTGAGGAAAATAAGAGAAAGAGTATAATTTAGTGAGGAATGGCGTAATTTACTCAAGAAAAATAACATATCAAAGTTTCATTTTCTTTGAATTCTTGAGAAATCTCTTCGTCAAACTTAGAAATCAAGAGATGATTGAAGTAATTATTTTTTTTTAAAAATCTAGAACGATCGTAATATATAATATATGTTTAAAAAATTTAATTGGTCAATAATGTACGTACTCTATAAACATAATTGTTCGAACTAGAATTTTTTTTAAAATATTAAAATTATTTTATGAGTTTAATTAAAATAATTAATTAGATTGTATAATTGACAAAATGAGAACGTCGATGTTACCAAAGTGTCAAGAAAGCAACACTTATAAATTACATAATAAATGTCTACCCTAATTGTTGCCCACCCCTCTAAGCTAAAGAGACTAATAAACACAATCAACATCGTTTATCTTCCTCTTGATTGCAACAGAATGGAACCCTGTAAAATGAATCCAAATTCTCTTGCCATTTCCTACCCCTACACTTGTCCCTTTAATAAAATCACACCACAAGTCTTTTATTTTTTAATATTTTCCTCTTTTATATTTTTCGTGTAATTTATTTTCAAAGTTTTAATTTAATAAACAAAATAAATTACTAATTCATATTAACTAAGTTTATACTTTTATTTTTAATTTAATTTTTTAATTTTTTTCTTATTTTAGTAAAATAAATTACGCCACATGTCCTTAAATCTTTTTATTTTTTTTAATTTAATATTTTTAATTTAAAATTTTCATATTCTCTTTTATATGATTACTTTTTTATTTTCATATTCTATTAATTAAAAATAAAATAATTAAAATTAATTAATAAAATATGAAAATAAAAACTAATCAATTCATATTTTTAGTTTATAGAGTAGAAAAATAATACAATTTAAGGTTTGAAGTTTAGAGTTTAGGATTTAGTAAAAATATTTAACTATTTAAAAATAAAAGTATAAACTTAGTTAGTATGAATTAATTAATTTTATTTTATTTATTTCAATTTTAGTTTAAAGCTTTAAAAATAAATTACATGAAAAATATTAAAAGGAAAATATTAAAAATAAAGGGCATGAGGCGTGATTTTATTAAAAGAGCGGCAGTATAGCTAGGAAATGGGCAGAGCATTTGGATTCCTGTAAAATAACTTTAATTTCCATAATCCCAAATTTGCATAATTAATTATTTATGATTTACATTTTGCTTGCTACTTTACTTAGTTTCTCTTTTTTTTTAAGGTTGGTGTATTTTTTATAAATTAAATCATTTTTTATTATATTTAACTAATGACACTGATTTTAATATTGATTATCAACAGTTAATTTAATTTTTTATAAAAATAATATCACTTTTTTATATTTTTTTCATCTTGTTGAATGATGACACGTTTTTTTCTTAGTTGTTTAACATTTTTTTAATTTTTAATTTTCTCATAGTTAAATTTTGACAAATTCACAACCGATTAAAATGATATTTATTTTTAATTTTATTGATATTTTATGTTATAAAATTTCGAATTGAATTTAGATACGTAATTTTATGTTCATGAATACACAATTTTAGTTTACTAATCTCAATGATATTTTAATAATTTAATTATTTTTTATGATTTATTCTCTGATACAATCAGATTTATTCGTATTTATTTTTTGTTCGAGTCTTTTGATTGAATTTTTAACTTTATATATATATATATATATATATATAATTTAATCATTTTTTATAATTTATTCTCTAATACAATTATATTTATTCGTATTTATTTTTTGTTTGAGTCTTTTAATTGAATTTTTAATTTTTCATGTATAATCTTTATATGATCTTAAGTGATTAATTTCAATAAGAAGTACTTAAATTATCTATTTAATTTATTATGATAATTATAGTAATTTTAATCCTTATTATAATTTTGGATATTTCAGTCTTTTAATAGGACTAGCCACTTCTATTTAGAAAGAAAAAGCAAATCTAGTTCCATATTTTTTCCAAATTATGTTTGGTAAAATTTATTGGGTCAAAAACCACAAGAGAGGATCCTCAAATCCCAATTACAAACCTGTCATTCCTAATTAAACAGATCGGTGATCGTTGAAAGATTATGTTGGGGTCCAATTTTGTCCATTGATGGCATTCGTTGTTTTATCTCAGTATATAATATATGATTGCAAGATCTTGAACTAATGGAATAAATCAAGAAGGGTCTAAACTATGATCATTTCTATAAAAAATAACTTGATTCCCAATAATAAGATTCTGAACTGAACACTAGGTTCTTTCACTAGAGAGTTGAAGTTAATAAAAAAAGAAACATTATTAGGGTTATTAAGAGTGAGGATGGGCAGTGTTATGAATCCTATGATGATATGACTACTGTATTAGTGAGTTACTTCACTAGTCTAATTGGTTCTGCTGACCCATTAGTTAGTGGTTGCACTGTTGAAAGTTTAAAGGGGTTGCTGAACTATTCTTTGCCTGCAGCTGATCTACTCAAAAAGGAGGTGGAAGACATGGAGATCAAAAGCGCCTTGTTTAGACAAGGGAAGGATAAAAGTTCTGGCCCTGATGGATATACCTCTGTTTTTTTCAAAGCTGCCTGGGACATTGTTGGGGCTGATTTTATGTCTGCTGCCAGGTATTTTTTTCAGTCCTCTTGTTTAGTTCCAGCTTTCAATGCTACAGCTTTAGTTTTAGTCCCTTAATGCTTGCTTAGCAAAAGATTTTAGGCCTATCTCCTGTTGTTCAGTGGTTTATAAAACCATTACAAGAATTCTTGTAAATAGGCTTGTTCCTTTTTTCCCTGCTATGATCTCTCAAAGTCAAAAAGCATTTGTTAAGGGTAGGAATATTGTTGATAATACATTGCTAGCCCAAGAGATTGTTAAAGGCTACTCCAGGAAAAGCCTTTCTCCTAGATGTGCTATCAAAATTGATATGCAAAAGGCTTTTGATTCTGTTAATTAGGGGTTTTTGTTGATTGTTCTTGAGGCCTTGGGGTTGCCTGCTGTTTTTTGTAAATGGATCAAGGCTTGTATCACTACCCCTCTATTCTCTGTCTCCTTAAATGGAAGTTTGGTGGGTTTCTTTAAGGGTGAAAAAGGGATTAGACAGGGAGATCCATTGTCTCCCTATCTCTTTGTCATGGCTATGAATGTCATGTCTTCCCTCCTGGATACTGCTGCTAAGAAGGGTATTTTTAAATTCCACCCTAAGTGCAAGAGAATATCCCTCGCCCACCTATGCTTTGCGGATGATTTGTTAGTTTTTTGCTATGGTTCACTTGATGCTGTATTGGGAGTGCAAAGTAACTTAGAGAAGTTTTATGAGTTGTCAGGACTTAAGCTAAATGCCCAGAAGATTGAATTCTTTGCTTGTGGTTTGAATGAACACACTGTTGAGAAGATCTGTAGGGCTACTGGGTTTCGGTTGGGACAACTCCCTGTTAGTTACCTTGGGGTACCTTTGGTGACGAGAAAGCTAATTGGTAATAACTGTGCTGTCTTGTTGACTAGGATTAGAGACAAACTTAGTCAATGGTCTAACAAAAAACTCAGCTTTGGGGGTAGATTGTAGTTGGTTAAAACTGTTTTGTTCAGCATGTTTAACTACTGGAGTAGACAACTCATTCTTCCCAAGGGGATTATTAGGGACATTGAGAGATTATGCATGTGCTTCTTTTGGAAGGGCAGTGACTCCTCTGCTAGAGGTGCCCGTGTTAGATGGGGTCAGATTTGTACCTTGAAGTTTGAAGGTGGTCTGGGGCTTAAGAGCCTTGTGGAATGGAGCAGGGCCTGTTACTTGCTGATGGTCAGGAATATTCTGGCTAATGAGGGCTCTCTCTGGATTGTATGGATCAAGGAGTATTGTTTTACATCTACGAGTTACTGGGAGGTAGTGTACAAACCTCACTTCAGTTGGATCTTAAGCAAGTTGCTTATATTGAAAGAGGAAGCTAGGACTCTGTTTATCCCTTGTGCAGATTGGAGCATTATAAATGGAAAATGGATCTGGGACAGCATTCGTAGCAGTAGGGTGAAGATTGTATGGCATAAACTTATTTGGTTTCCTGCTCACATTCCCAAATTTTCGTTATTTTCTTGGATGGTCATCCTTGATAGGTTGCCTACCAAGGATAGACTTGCTCGATTTGGATTGATAGTTGATCATGCATGTGGGTTGTGTGGGACTGGTTTGGAGTCTCGGGACCATCTTTTTGTTGACTGTTCTTATGCAAAGGATGTTTGGAATTCGATATTGGTTGCTTGTGGTCTTTCGCATGTGGTTCACAGTTGAGTTGGGATGAGCTTCTCCATTGGCTGATGATTAATATGAAGGGTAATTCCATCAGAGTGTGTGTTCTCAAGTTGGCGTGGACTGGATATCTTTACTTTATATGGAAGGAACACAATTATAGACACTATTGAAGGCTAGCTTGTTCGGCTGAGGAAACTGTAAATAAACTGAGGGAGGCTGTGAAATTTAAACTGTATAGACATAACATGTATAGGATTGATGATGTAAATAGGCAACTGCTCATGAATTGGGGACTTATCTAGCTGATGTTGGTTATGTTTGTAGCAGCTAGGCTGCATTCTTTTAGATGAATATAATTTACTTATCCAAAAAAAAATCTGAACAAGAAATAAAAAAATCACTAGTAAGAGGGAAGAACATGCCAAAAGTGATTTATAGGTCAAAGACTACAAGCTCCAACCATATGTGTTTATATAGACTCGACAACTTGACCCGTACCCGATTATCCAAATCAATTTATTCGACTTAATACACGATATTACTTCGAACATAATGATCAAATTTAATTCGAAACACGAACCATACCCAACCCGAATCATATCCGATCTAAAATTTAACTATAGACACATATCCAATTTGACTCAAATCGAAAACAATTCAACCCAAAATTAACCCGAATAAAAAATAACCCGAACCGAAAACAATCCAACTGAAAAAACTACTTGAATCGAAAAACAACTCGAACTGAAGAGTAACCTGATCCGAAATCAATTCGAATCGAAACCAACATAAAACGAAAAATTATATATACTTAATTAGACTTATAACCGAATTAAGCCTAAATTATAAAATTAACAAACCAGAAGACAAAAATATACTAATAATTCTATATATATTTTATTAGACTCCTAACCAATTCATTCCGAATTATCCTAGATCAAAGATTGATCCAAATCGAAAATCAATTGATCTGAAATTGATCTAATCCGAAAATCAACCGATGCAATATTGACCTAACCTAAAATCTAACTAATTTGATATTAACTCGACTCAAAAATCAACTAATCTAATATCGATTCGAACCGAAAACAATCAATCAATCAATCTGATAGTCACCCAAAAATTGACATACAAAAAATTGACTAGACCCGCTACTTAAGTCAACCCAATTTACCATAGATCCAAATTAAATTTGAACCAAACTCTGAATAAAGTTAAACTGAATATAATCTAAATCGACAATGACCCTACCCGAAAGGACCCGACGCAAACCTCCATCTCTAATCATAACAAGAACCACTTGTATTAATAGCAAATCTTGGTCCCCTTGATTAAGGTTGAACTAATCTGCTTAGCCCATTTTATTTTTTTTACTTTTTTGGACATGATCTTTAGAAAACAAAAATTACCCTTTTGCTTTTAGAAATAAATATGCCCACTAACAACATATTTATGCCTTCAAATAACAGTTATTTTGCATTTATAGGTCTAAAAACATCTTCTAGATGACTACATTCTCGTACATACAACACCAACTAGGAAAATATTTCAGATTTAAAGGTAGCAAATGGCCTTAAGCACATATACTTAACCAATCAAGCACTATAACCCTGGTTTGAAGGATGCCATTGTCTCAGATCATGGCAGCCGCATGCGGCAACACAAGCTTCCTCCAGTATGGAATGGGAAACACCACTGTTGCATATGTTGGCAAATGCACGCATGTGTTTCATTCCGTATTGAGTTAGTGACCCGCAATGTGTTTCAAACACCCGAACCTAGAGTGAACATTTGGTTTATAACTTAATTAAACATTCAAGACTAGCAGCAAGATGAATATCTAAATTTAGAGTAATACCATGGATTTCAGGCACTGCCAGTCATCAACAAGGGGCAAACCAGGTTCCCCGATGGCGTTGAGGACAGCAGAGCCTTTCGCTGGCCCATACAAGAGTTTTCCGATCAAGTCGATGCTGCCATCCAAGTGGTTTCTATGCCTCATAGTCTGGGTAATCTGTGTCAGTATTTCTTTCTTCATTGATCCATCTTCTGAATTTTTGTACTGTAAACAAATGAAACGAACAACATTGGTATTGTCTGTAATTTGAATAAGCGCTGAGGAAAAAGAAAAGAACGTGGCTCAAGCTCACCATATGCCATAGAAAGAGAATATCTGCATCTCTCTGGTTAATAGCTCCCATGTGCATGTCATGGCTTAATTCATTTGGAGGGAAGTTCACTGTAGCAGGGTCATAGCCTTGATACAAATTAAGTTTCTCAGCTTTAATGCTTGTATTCCCATATTCCATCACATGGGATCCACCGTTTGCGTGCGCGTCGAAATCGGAAGTCCGTTTCCTTACCTGCATTATGAAAATTCAAATGTCTAAATTACAACGGCAAAAGCTCGTGAAAAATTTGTTCTGCTTACTGTTTCATATTGTTGCTCTATAGTTTCTCTCTTTAGATTGTGAGTTTCACTGCAGATCATCAGAACACAGAAAAGCTAATCAGCCAAATAATTTGCGAATAAGCTATAACCAAAAGTCTAATTAAAATGATAAGTGCTTAAAGAAGAATAAGTGCATATACGTACCTGTCCTCCATCCAGGCCACACTATACAAATCTCCTAAACAAGTGATGAACTCCGGGGGTGGAGGAGGATCCATATCAGGACAATAAGTTCCCCAACTACTCTCTTGGGCATTCGATGCTGTTGTTACATAAATGTTCAGATCATTTGGCATTATGCCTTCGAAGATACTTCCACTCTCACAAGCTTCTACATATATAACCTGGTCGCATCAGAAATGCAACATTAATGTCATACAAGTAATTTTCATCAAAAGAATTGACGAAGAAGAAAAGACTATGGAATTCATCCAAGTGCAGAAGATTTGTTACCATCTCTCTGTAGCTTCCAGCTGCATGTTTCTCCTTCAAGACATTAAGAAAATCCATGGCGTACAGCCATGGCGTATTTGGCATCCCTAGAATCATATTTCAAATTAGTCAGATAAGATTCTGGCCCTATATGATTCAACAAGAGTCTGTAAAGTACCGAGAACTCCGGGGCCTCCGTGATCAGAGTAGAAGATAAAGATTCTGTCATTGGATTTGCTATCAACAACCTTTCCACTTCCTCCACTCAATGCACTTCTGTTACCAAGAATTACCGCATACAAATTTGCAGCAGTGATATGCTCACTCGTGTAATCCTACCATTCAATATGCGATATTTTTTATTTATACCCTTAAAAAACAAGCACTTGATGAAATCCAAGAACTAAAAAATTGAGTTGGTGGGACAGTGACCGAATGAGTATGCTTAAACACCAAGTTGAGTGGAGAAAGAATACTAATGGTCACCTTAGGCACACCGGCATAAACATCCTCGCCTTGGGGATGGTTGATGATGATTCCTGGCCTGGGATTCAGCTCATTCATGGCGATGTCATCGTACATAAACACAATAATATTCTCTTCCTTCAATCCTCCTTTCCTTAACAACTGATAGGCGTGGCATACATCTGCCTGCAGCAATTGCACCCCGCATGTAAACAGAGAGACTGGTTATGGTTGATAAACTGCTTTATTGATATTACCTGATGCCTGTAATTACCAAAGCCAGATGAGCCAGCCACGAGAACAGCCCATTTTGTTTCGAGTTCCTGATCTTCTCGCGGCTCATCTTTCTGTGAAGGCAGTCGGATTGCAGACTCCCAGTGGTTCAACCGGGCGGCCCGACCAACAGCTGTGACTTCAAAAAGCAATAACAGCAAGAAAAGTAGAGAAGGGTGGTTGTGGAATACAGAACCTTGTTTTCCCATGGATATGCTTTTGATGTAAAACAGGGAAGCGGTTCACAAAATCCAGGCCACAGGAGAAGTGAAAAGAAAGGGAATGAAATTGAAAAACGTAAGAAGGGGGCAGTGAGATTAAAATGTGGTGGGTAAAAGGGTGGAGATGCCATGCAAAACAACGGCTTGACACGACTGGGAATGGTTCAGAACTGTGGGTCCGTAACTTCTGTTGTTGAAACAAATGTCTATTTGATTATTTTAAATACACGTATACGTTTAGGTCCACTTTCACATTAACTTTTAAAATGTTCTTAAAAAGTGTCGTTACAAATTGTTTCTAAAAAGTAAAGTTCAAAATTTTAGGTACAGAATTCAAATGATTATTCTGCGGTAAAAAATATTAAAAAGTATAAAATAATTCATTAATCATATGATGTTGTCTTATTAAAATTTTCAATTATTAAAAATTATAAATTAGTTTTCTAATAATTTTTATATTTTAAATTTATTTTTTATTAAAAGATTAACGGAAATCTAAATTGGATATTAACCGAAACTTCTCGGCTCTCTTTCCCTGCAACCTGTAGTTACTTTCATGCCAAATAAAATAAATAAAAGTATTTGAAGCAGTTCGAAGAATCGAGTGCTATAAGGACTTTTCCTTGCCATATTTTTGTACTCACTCCATCTCCACCAAATCAAGCCAAGCACCAACCAAAAGTATTGTTTGGACAAACACTTTTGACACACAAAAGATATTGTCAAATACACCGTCTAAGTGCGGATGTTTCTTCTAAGCTTTTAATTACTTATAGTTGGGGAAAGAAAATAAAAGGGTATTAAGGGACACCTAAAAAGTAAGTAGCGGAGAAGTTTAAGGAAGAATTGATCTATGATTGAGTCATAAACTGTGCTTGTCGATAGAAACATGTGGAAATGACATTTTTGGAAGCAAAGGCTTTAATAGTGTGGAAGCTTTGACTGACTTTGACTTGAAGGATAAGTTGCCTTCCAAAATCTGTAAATCATATAGATATAGAGTTCAATGATTGAGAAGCCTCATTTTCCATCAGATTAGAACGTTTCATGGCGGATAGGGATATTACAAAATGTATGATATTTGACTGTCAAAAACTCCCCATCAGACGCAACAGCCTTCACTTCTCCCCAACTCTGTAAGGCTTCCTCTTCATCAGACGCAACTCGTTGTCGACAATAAAAAGGGAGAAAGAACATTTAAAAAAGGAAGAGTTAAGAAATTTGAGAATTAAAGATTTAGAAATTTAAGAAATTGAATTAACAACAAGGGATGGTTCGTCGTTAAAGGGTGGACGATTAATGACCGTCGACTACGATAAGAGAAGTTTAGAATTAAAATTTTAGAGAATTGAGTTTTCTTTAAAAAAAAAAAATAGAATGATTTTAATTTTTTTTTAAAATTAAATTTATATAAATTTATAAACATATTACGTGCCATGTTTTAAATAGTTAGACGATTTTTAAACAAGTGTTAATGGCTAAGTACATCAAGCGGAAGTCTGAGTTGACAATTAAAAATAATAAAAAATAATACAAACTATTATTATATATAAAATAAATATATAAAAATTATATTAAATTTTTTTATATGAAATATCACTATTTTTATAAAATAATCATTTTGATCAATATCTTTTAGTATTTTAATTATTAACCTTTTAATTTGAAATAAAATAACTTTTGGTTAGATAAAAATTATTAATTAATTAACGATAATCTTTTGTCGTTAACATGATAATTTTTATATTTATAAGGTGATAATGTGTTACATACTATGTTTACATAAGTGATGATGCAATACATTACATATTCAAAGTGGTAACATGACACGTATTATGTGTTTAAAGTGATGATATGACACATGTTACATATTTAAAATGGTGACAAATCATGTTATATGTACACAAGTGATAATGTAATACATGTCACATATATATAAACAATGATATAATACATATCATATGTACACAAATAGTGACGTGACATAGATCACATGTATATAAATGATGACACGCGAAATACATACTCTTTACATAAACAATAATATTAATTTAATTTAAAATATCAAATTTATATACCAAGTTAAGATAAAAAAAGAATATGTATCAATTTAAAAAAATTCCAAGTTCAAATATCAATTTATATTATAAATAATTTAATCAATTCGAAATATATATTATTTTTTATTCTTTAGTCCTAAATTATTATTATTGGTAAAAACATATATTTAGTATTTCAACTATTACTTTTGTTATGTTTTGATCGCTCATTTATTTTTTAAATTATACTTAACGTCTATTTTAGTTTTATTTTGATCACTCACCGTTAAAAATTAACAAAATTATTGATGTGGTATTTTTATATTTTCAAGGATGACGTGAAATTATTTTATGTTAACACGTCGACATCATCGTTAATTTTTAACGATGAAATCAAAACTAAATATTAGGTATGAATTTTGAAAAAAATCAGGTGACCTAAACAGAACAAAAATTATTGTTGAGTACTAAACATGTAGTTTACCCCAGTATTATTTGTTCAGAGGGGTGTATGAATTGTGAAATAGAGTTCTCTGTTTCGATTGACTGGCGAAGCAAGGGCCTCTGTTTCAATCACAAAAGGAAAACACACTCTTTTATCTTTTTCTTTGATCAACACAATCAATTTTGGGTATAATTGTAGCTCCAATAAATTAATTAAAACCCGTATTTACAATCCCATTTCTCCTGCTATTAAAATTCAATTTGCTTCATAATCCCAGTTGCTTTCAATCTGCATTTCCAGTTCTTATAAAACCTAAGTTCAGTTTCCGCGTTAGGTTTACATTCGACTATAGCTTCATGTTGATCCCAAATTCCGATTTTTAAATACCCAACTAAATTATACGCTGGTAATTTTCCGTTGAATTATAGAATCGAGTAGCTATGGGAGGTCATGGAGGGTTAAATATTTTGCCCCAGAAAAGTTGGAATGTTTATAACTACGAGAACAGAGAAAAGTCCGGAAAGATGAAGAAGCCGCTGCAAAAGGAGAGCAACTAAAACGTGAACAGGCGAGGAAAAGGGATACCAAGTACCGACTTGAGCAGCTTCGGACTGCTCGTGGCTTGGCTCCATTAAATAAACCTGGAGGTTCTGAGCCTGCTGCTGATGAACCTGTAGAGGCTGTTGAATCCGATCCCAAATCTGGTCACATTAATCTCTTTGAAGGGATTAAGAGTTTTGATTCCATCAAAGGTTCAGGGAAGGAAGAGGCTGCTGAGAAAGATGGGTTCAAGAGGAAGAAATTGAAGAAAGAGGAGGCGGTTCCCAAGGTTGTGGCGCCAGAGGACGAGAAGTATAGATTGGGTTATGGGATTGCTGGAAAGGGAGTTAAGTTGCCGTGGTACCTGGAGAAGCGGAATGTAGATGTTGAAGAGAGGAATGACAATTATGGATCAGAAAGAGTGAAGAAGGATGAGGGAAGGAAAACCGGGAAGAAGACGATAGAAGAATTGCGGGAAGAACGTTTGAAGAGGGAGAGGCGGGAGAAGGAGAGGGAACCGAGAGGAGCAAAACAAATCGGCCTCTAAAGGATACAAGGTTTTCCAGGAGGTGAGCTTGCAGAAGCTAAAGCTCGGCAGGTTTATGTTTCTAGATGTTCAAATCGTAGAGTTGTATGGATTTAGGTTGTAACTAGCGTTTTCATATTTGTTTGAACTGCATTGACTTGCGAATTTATTCAATATTTTGTAAGGAGCTTCTTTTGATGGATATGTATGAAAGCTATAATTTCTTTTACCAAAATATTGCCTGTTGGATGTTGACATAATTTGGCTTGATTTGGTAGTTGCCAATTGTTGGCAAGTTTCATCCTTCCAACTCCATTTTTTTCTGTTTGCTTCCATGTTTGTGTGCTTTGATGGTATCGTTTGTTAAAATTGTTGCTTCAAACTGTCCGTTCGTACAAATTTTTTGTTTCATGTAAGATAAACATAAGAACAACATTGAATTGTGCATATTTTGAATATTTGTATCATCTTAGATCTTTCAAGTTATGCATGACTATGTGCAAATGCTAGCATATTTTTAAATACGTGTTCCCCAAAATTATACCCTAAACCTAGTTCAACAAGCCATCTCACTCTGACTAGGTCCAAAAGAAAGATTCAAGACTAGATATATTAATTACACTACTTGATATTCTTATCTACCTTCCGATAGATTAAAATATTATTTGGTCCATTACCCATTTTAGCTTTTGTTCTGTTCATTTACATCAACAAATTTATTTAATATGGTCTTGATTTACATCTTATTCTGTCACAGAGAAAAAACTAAGCTTTTAACATTGATTGTAATAGTATATAACTATGCAGAGAACATGAAGGTCACAACGATAGAAGCTTGGTGCGCATAAAATGTTAAATCTATCAAGTTATTGAATGGTGGTCCTCCCAAGAAATTGAGCAGAATGTTAGGTAGTTTAAAGTTCTAGGAAATATTATCTGTAGTCATAATGCTGACGGGAACTCATATTTCTTAATAGCAACTTCACATTTTTTATAATGTCTGCATACTTCAGTTTCTTGTTGTGAAGGGGTTAATTGTTGTCATAAATTTGTAAAAAAAAAAAAAAAAGTGGTTGAGGGAGAGAGGTCATCCGTTTGCAGAAGCAGAGCAAAAACTTGATTTTTATGGTGCATGGCATCAAATACGAAGACTCTCTTGAATCTCGAGGATCTGGCACTCCCTTCGGTATGTTTTCTGGGTCACTTTCTTTATATCGACGTTTGTAGCCATCGATTTCTTGCTTTGCCTCGTCATTGTCCATAGCTTGGTGTCATGGTTCTGCATATCATTGTTGTTCTGTTTTAGCTTGTTTCCCTACTTCCAGGAACGATACCTTTTTTTTTCTTGATTTATTAATATCTGAAGATTTCTTCCAACTTATTTTTTGATTCTTCATCCACGATTATGTTTTATCTAAATTGAATTTTCATATTAATGACCTTCCTTCTAACAGCTCCTTCATGAGCTTCTGCAAATTGCACACATGAAACTATTGGTGTTTTAGAGTTTAATTCAATTACTGGGAGTTCACAATGCAGAGACTTCAGTTTCAGGTTATAGTGATGACTGCAAACATGGGATGCTCTGAATGCCGAAAGAGAGTCTCTCAAGTTATAACTAAAATAACTGGTAGGGCACTTTGACGGGTGAAACCTAAATGTCATGGGATTTATAAACCAAATTATTGTTTCAACTTGCAGGAGTGAGAGAATTCATAGTGGATGTAAGCAATAAACAAGTGATTATAAAGGCAGATTTTGGGATCCGTTGGGATGTGAAGAATGATATTTCCAAGACTTACAAGACAAAGGATTGGCATCCACATGAATTCTTCAAGTGTTTGGCTCCTATATGTGTCGGTAAACAAATTTCATTATCTGATTGAGCTGAACATTGACAAAAAGGAAATTAATTATGCTCCCTTTGCAACTTTAAATTTCAACTATTAGATTTTATTTACTATGTAAACCCATGTATGGGATTCGATGTATTATATAGTTGAAAAGTATAATTTATCAAATTCAAGAATAAATTAGGAATTTCAAAATCACTACTGCTTTATCATCTAGTAAATTCAAAGATACGAGACATTTCAAAGCATTTTATTACTTAATTTACACTATTACTAAAATCTAAATCCAAATTCTGAATTCAAAGTTAGATGTGCTAATTTATGGTCTGTTTGTTTGGAGAACAATTTATAGAAAATGTTTTCCTGTGTTTGCTTAAACACTTTAAGGAAGACTCTTTAGTCTAAGAAAAATGTTTTTCGGTAACTTTTTTTTTTTTCCCTGTAAAACAACTTACGGGTTGAAAAGAGGAAAGTCATTTTACAGCAGCGTTCATATTCAAAGGAAAATCACTTCTTTAAAGCCCTTTACACACAAATCGTCCTATCAAATACCCTTCTCACCGGCGACTATTACTCAGGCCAATAGCGTTCATCTTCTCAGATGATCAAATGATTCTTCCCTTTCGTAATTTCATATTTATGCTTTCCTGTTTTCGCTCAAATGATTCTTTTGTCGGGTCTACTCCTTGCAGTCGAGGGTTCACATCGTCCCTCCCCTTTCAAACTATCTTGGGTACACTCCCGTTTTATCTAGAAAAATCTCATAATCCCTCAAATCATTGTCGGAAGAGTGTTGGTGTGAATAACCCGATAGCAAGTGCATTTCCTTCCGTCCTCGCACCAAAACCATTCATGTTGTAGGGTTTTTTTTCCTGCTTTAAAGTTGTTTTCCTAAGTTGACAAGCGGTAAAATCAAATTAGCTTTGATTGGAGTTTTATGGTTCACTTCTGAATAGTTAAATTTCTTTGTTCCTTTATAAAAGTAGTAGCAAATATGAAGGTTGCAGCCATCGAAAATGGTTGATGATTCCAATTTTACTATGCGTTATAGATTTCCTTTGAATTGTTTTAAAATGTGATAAGAAAATAATAAGAAGTTACGGATGTAGTCATTTGTTTTTGCTTCTATCTTCGCCCTTTCTTTTTGTTTTTTGTTCTGTTTGTAAGGTTCAGTTTGATTATCTGTAAATAGTTACTCGACCCAATTTAGTAGATGCAATGTGATTTATAAAATCTCTTTTTCATATATCTATATCTATGATCGTCTATTTTTTTTCTTCTTTTATACGAATGTTGCTCCAACACGAGTCTTACATATCAGTATTATTATATCAGTAAAAAACAAAGAATAAAGAAGTTTACGTTTGCTATAATTATTATTGCAGAATTGAGCTCATTTAAAATCTAATGAATTCGCAATCTTTATATAAATAAAATAGTGTACTTTATAGAAATAAAATATTGTACTTTATATTAAAAAAGTTTTAAATAATGCTTTTTAACACTAAATTAATTTTTATATAAATTAAAGAAAATAGAAATTAGGAAAAATCATAAAATATGTATCATTATTTACTGAAAATAGATTCTGAAAATTGTTTTCAAAAAAAATAATCAAACAACGAAAAATATTTTACACTTCAGCATCCAAACAATCGTCATTATAAATAAATAAGCTTCATCTTAGCCGAATAAGCTTCATCTTAGACATTGTTGTTGGCCTCAGCCTTGTTTTATGAATTTGATAGTCTTTTGTTTCGAAGATTTGGGTTTTTGTAGGGAATGGTGGCATATCTGAGCTCTCCCCATCGCATGTAAAAAGTCCCAGAATGTTAGAGACATCATCAGTGTGCTTTTAATTACAATTCTAATAATCAAAACCATTTTTATGAATATAATATATATTATTCTCAGATCAATCTCGATAAATAACTTGAGTATCTACAAATAGGAACTAATAGCACCGAGGTTAGCTAATTTCGACAAACCTAACTACCAAATGCCGATTGAAGGTCAAGCAGCAGCCCAAAGACCATTAATTTTCCTTCCATTTTCCTTCATCATACTTGTCCAGATGAAGATGAGGATAAATGCCCTGAAGAATCCTAGAATATGGTTGTTTATGACTTCTTCATGATATATCCCATAATTATGTCGAGCATGCCGATCAAAATGACAACGATGAATGACAATCCGCCGCCGCTTTTGCTGCCTTGGTGCCTCAGAAGTTCCTAAAACATTTTTAATCTTTATATGTAAGAAGTTTATATATGGATCAGATTAAAAGAACACAATAAACCCCAATAATCAATCTTATTTAGTATCTCGCTTCCAGACTTAATTGGCGGAGGATTGTTCAGAACATTTTTACCTTTTCTGAAAGTTGTTGCATTCCTTCTAAAATGATAATCATGAGGTAAAAATTTATGATGATCATCGAACCAAGATTGTTTCCCACCATGTTGCAGAGTAAATGCTTCAGATTCCTTCATGCAATATCGATAAGCCGTTCTTCCCATTGTACTTCAACTTGACCACATGCCATACGCAGGAAAATCATTGATAGTCCACAACAGGGTAACACGAAGCAAAAAATTCTACTTGGTTGACAAGTCATATGTTGTCTCCCCTATATTCCACAAATGTATAAACTCAACAATCAAAGATTGCAAGAATACATCTATATTATATTTTGGATTTTTAGGACCCGATACAATTATTGTCAAAAACATAAAATCATCCTTCATGCACATAGAGGGAGGAAAATTGTATGGTGTTACTATAACCGGCCACAAAGAATATTATTGCCTAGATTGACCAAATTGTTGAAAACCATCTGTGCACAACCCAAGTCTGACATTACGAGTCTCATACGAAAATGTTGGATGCTCCTTATCAAAATATTTCCAAGCAAGAGAGTCAGAAGGATGACACATGAGATCATCTTCATCGATTTGATCTCAACATGCCACCTCATATGCTTAGCAGTAACATCAAAGGCGTATAGCCTTTGTAATCGGGGAGTTAAGAGGAAGTAATAAATCTTTTTGTATGCCTTTCTATCACTAGATCCTTTGCCAACATTATCCTTGTATTGAGGATTACCAAAAACTTACATTCGTTCAATTCAAAATCACAACCCCAGTAAATCATGCAACTGGCAAACCCATATCACGAACCAACTTCTTTGTCTCGTAAATGTTTTTGGGCATGACATTATCTCCTGGCATTAACCTATGTATTATCCGACAAAGGTCATCATAGCATGCATTATGAATATGATATTGTGCTTTCAAGTGTATTAATTTAGAAACCATTGATAACTTGGGGTCATTGTTACCAGGTCATATCGGTTCAGATTAAGCACCAAGTCTATCGTACAACATTTGCGATGAAGCAATCGATGATTGATAATCTTCTTCCATATATGCATTTAACTCAAGATCACAATATCTACCTCATGAGAATCATGATTGTTACCACACTGATCATACACATACTCTGGAACTGGAGTATTAGAGCCCGTCATATTGTTATAGTAACTAGTGATAGAAAAATGTGGCTCTCAATGATGCACCCAATTATAATAATGCGAAATAAACCCTTCGTTGATCACATGAACTTTAACCGTTTCTGGATTGCTAAACCTTGTATTTCTACATTTAGGTCGGTTACATGGACACCTAATATTTCCTCGATCCGTAAAACTAGGCTTACTTAACACAAACGTGATAAATTCCAACAGTGGTCGCCCAAAATCAAGATTAATAATGTGACCATTTATTATTCTATCAATAATGTAAATCCAAAATCGATCTATATTGAATACCAAAACACACTTTTATTATATTATTAAATTCAAATATTTAAATTAGTAAACTTTTAAATAATAAATTTTAATTACAATTTTTAAAATTTTCTGAAAAAAACTAAGAACAAGAGCTTATGATATTATTATTGTAAATTACATGCAAACATATTTTATTTATTCTTAAGATATATTACTATTTTTTCATTTTTATTTCTAGATGATACAAGAAGTATAACTTAGACATTATTAAACTACTTTACTTGCACTTTTGAATAAAAAAGACTAATACTAATAAATAAATTGACATCATTATGTTAAAAAAATTAAAATTTACCTCAACTCACGAATTCAATAGAAAATTTTAGAATTCTGCCAAAAAAAAACATAAAAAGTAATTTTTTTTTTATAAATGTAAATAACAATAGCTAAGTTATCAACATCTTTAAAAACAAGTTTGTTAATTTAATCATAACCAACTTGCACTAACTACAAAAAAGGAAGTAACTTGCATTATATTATCATTGAGCATGCAAAGCAATAACTTTTGTAGAGGAAAATTTACATTTTTTTAAGTGATAGAAACTTTATTAATATTGTTAAAAATCACAAGTAATTAAAAATCACAATGAATAACATTGGCACGAAGACTCCTAAAACTAAGAAAAACATATTGATAAAAAGAATAGATAATCTAGTATGTTATATATATGTCGCCATGAAAGTAAGTAGGTAAATCATTTAAGACAAACTACAATTTTTAATTTAGAATTATAATTAAAAAATCAACAAAAAAATAAATACATATATAAAAGTAAAAAATACAATAAATAATATATATTTTTTCATGTAGACATATAAAATAAAATTAAATGTTTAACATAATATACAATAAAAAAATACTTACATGAATCGATTTGCACCTTAAAAGTTCCTTCACCATGAAATATTATAACTCTGCCAAAAAAAAAAGTTTAAGAAAAATGTTTTATAAAAATATATAATAAAAATAAAAGAATGTTGAAGAAATACTAACAAATATTCTCAATGGGTCCCAAGAGGTGCCACATCTTCCAGCATAGAATGACAAATGAGAATAGAGACGAAAAGGTTGAATAAAAACTTATAAATTAATCATTACATTGCTGGTTGGGGTTGAGATAATTAATGAGAATTTAATTAGATATAATGAATATTTGTATGTGGGGTTGAAAAAGGAGATGAATAGTTATAGATTAAA